TAACGCCCAAGTACCGCCCAAGTACTGCTACTCACATTCTGCCCAAGTGCCGACAAACTACAGCTAAAGTACCACCCAAGTGCCGCTTTTCACATTATGCCCAAGTACCGCCAAAGTACGGCCCAAGTGCCGCCCAAGTGCCGCTGCTCAAATTCTGCCCAAGTACCGCCTAAGTACCGCCCAAGTGCCGCTTTTCTCATTCTGCCCAAGTACCCCAAAGTACGGCCCAAATGCCGCTGAAGTACCTCACAAGTGCCGCTTTTCACATTCTGCCCAAGTGCCGACAAACTACAGCCAAAGTACCGCCTAAGTACCGCCCAAGTGCTGCTTTTCACATTCTGCCCAAGTACCGCCAAAGTACGGCCAAAGTGCTGCCCAAGTACCACCTAAGTGCCGCCCAAGTGCCGCTGCTCAAATTCTGCCCAAGTACCGCCCAAGTGCCGCTTTTCACATTCTGCCCAAGTACGCCCAAGTGCCGCTGCTCACATTCTGCCCAAGTGCCGACAAACTATAGCCAAAGTACCGCCCAAGTGCCGCTTTTCACATTCAGCCCAAGTGCCAACAAACTACAGCCAAAGTACTGCCCAAGTACCGCCCAAGTGCCGCTGCTAACATTCTGCCCAAGTGCCGACAAACTATAGCCAAAGTGCCGCCCAAGTGCCGCTGCTCTAATTCCGCCCAAGTGCCGCTAAAGTGGCGTCCAAGTACCGCCCAAGCGCCACTGCTCAAGTACTACCCAAGTGCGGCTTAAGTTTCACCTGATAGCCGCTAACGTTAAACATTTGTCTTTATTATTATTAATGTTGTTTACAATTGTATCTTCTTTCTTATATTATATTAATTATCATGTTTATTTTCTTTATCATTATCATCATTATCTACATCGTCATTGTCAATTTTATCGTATGTAGAATGATCTCACAATAATATCTTTGGTTAACTAAATAACCTTTTCGTACGCTTATTTATTTGTTTTTACGTTTGTGATACTCAGCCCTTCATGTCCTTCTAATAGTTTTATAGCTACACGTTTTTACTATTTTAATTACATTTGAGCGCCATCTTCTGCCCGCTAGGGGATCTATTCAGACTTTGTTTACCGACATAGAGATTTGTTGCTATGTTGTTGCGATCCATGACACTGCACTTCATGGCAGCCCGCGCCATTGAAATTGGCGTTCTAAACACGCTGAAATGGAGCACTTTTGTAAATCCATTTACTTAATGAATAATTGTTAAAAAATTATTCTGTAAACAGATTTTGACTCAGGGGAAGCTGATCTACACGCTGGTCCCCGCTCCTCAAGTACTTAAGAATATCCCTGTATGTTACCTCGTAAACAACTATTTCTGCATTTTTACCATCTGTACCTGCTGCTACGAAAGACACTGCAACTTTGACGACTGCCCGTATGGGATGTGTGGTATGATTTGCTTCCAATCTTCCGTGGTAATGAAGCAGCGAGGCACGCTGTCCTGCAGGAGAGTGCTAGAACATGAGGATAATGCCATAGTGTGTCCGACGACGAGTTGACATTGTCCTCGTCAAAGTCAGAAAGCCCTTGTACTTAGGTCTGGGGAGGTACGAGGTTTATCACCCTTAGGACAGTGGACTTACCATCGATCGGGAAAGGAGTTCTAGCCTGCGGGTTTAACAATGATTTTATGGGTACTACAAATAAAATCTATGAATCTGACGTACTATCAGGATCAAAGCAACAGGTCGATCATGACTGTGTGGGGAACTCCTATAGTTACTGCCACATGAGCGCCGAATATGTGCAGACGAAGCATATCAAAAATATCACTGAAAAAGTTGAAAGTTTATTTAAAGCATGCTTTGGAATAGAAGTATCGGGGCAAAATACGACCTGGGTTCCACACATTCTATGTACCAATTGTTACAAAATGTTGAATAAATCCAAAAAAAACTCTAGGTAAAAATAAATAAAAATTTCAAAAACTAGCAAATTGGAAAAAACCACAAGACAAAATATTACTATTGCATGACAAATTTAAATGAAGTAAATACGACACGTAAGGAAAAAAAATCGTATGCAATAGCATTTAGTGTCGTTGGTCCGCAAAAATATTCAATCGAAAGTTCAATAGATGAGGCTTCCCAAGAAAGACAATTTCATACAAGACTCTCATACAAGAGAGACAATTTCATACAAGGAATTATGCAAGTTCATGAAGGTCACGACGAAAAGTGTGAAAATCTTAATGTCCAAGAAGAAAATGTTGTTGAGGGAAGCGGATTGGTGGCCAAAACAGAAAGTGAAACGAAAGTTTTCAAAGCTGATGTTCAAAATTTACTCAACTCACATTTTTCATAATGCGCTCGGGTTCAAAAAATAAAAACTCACAGGAATACTATTGTATTCATGTAAAGCGATTTGTATTCACATTTTTTCGAGCTTTTGAATCTAAAAACTTAATTTCAGTAGTTTTTGAGGTTATGTCTAAAATCTACATGTCAAAACTCTTTAAATATAACAAACTTGGATTCAGTAGGCATGAATATATAAAGTTAAGGTAGTTACGATGGAAAACGAATCATATTTACACTTGTATGGAGCTTTTTAGTTTTTTGAGGTTATGTTGGAAATCTGCACGTCAAATGTCTTTAAGCATGACAAATTCCGATTTATCAGGCATAAATATGTAAAGTTAAGGTAATTGCGATGGAAAACTAATCATATTCACACTTTTTTCGAACTTTCAATACTAAAAACTTTGCTTTAGTAGTTTTTTGAGGTTATGTCTGAAATCTGAATGTCAAATCTCTTTTATCATGACAAATTTGAATTTAGCAGACAATAATACATAAACATATGGTGTTTTATAAGATTATTGTTGCTCTTCTTTTTTATTCTTCAGCTCTAACCACTGGAAAACATTATTTTTTAACAGTTTTTTGAGGTTTTCTCCGAAATTTGACCCCAAACCCCCATTTTTTATGGTAAATCCGGATTTAGCGTCCAAAAGTGCGTGAGAAAAAGTTAGTCTGTTTAAGTAAACCAGACACTTTTTTTGTGGGTCTGCGCAATTAGCAATCGTAATAGCAAATAAATTGCATGGATTACGAACAAAAATATTTTAATAAGTCATTTTGGAGGTTTATTGTTCTGAGAAGTGTCAAGAACAAATTTAAAATTTTTAACTGAAAACGTTTTACTATACTTGTCAATACACTACAGTGTTCCATTTAGTCAATCTCTCGCGAAGCCGTTAATATGCATGTATAAATAAGTAAGTGAAATAATTGGTTGGCAAAAAAAGATTTTATTAGAGAACTACGTACCCTAGAAGCAACATATACAAAAAAAGAAATAAATGAATCCTTAAAAAAAATTTTAAATCAATCATCAGAACATGGCTACACTGGTGATAGTGCTGAAGGAAAAAAAATAGCAACTTATTTCTATAATGAGTTTTGTAATGTTTTTATATACGTAAAAAAAAAAAAAAAAAAAAAAAAATGCATCTATAAGTCAATATGTAACATAAGTCATAAGTAGCACATAAGGGAAACCTAAAATTCATACAATAATTGTAAGGGGATAGTGAACACATTAACATACATGTATACACCGGTCACACAGCGTAAGAAGTCAGTAAGAGAACACAGAGATTTAGTAATCAACCCCACCCCTTTTTCTTTCAAACGGATTTCGTACACACAATACGACGCATACATACTACTATTAGAAAGAAAGGAATGATCGCCGTCGAGGACAGCTATGTCGGGACCACGGACGTGTCACGTACGATAGCATATAGCCATGCATCCATGCGCCCCTTCTAGTTTGAGCCCTAAAGGATGTAAAAACAGCGAAGATAAGAACAGAGAGGAAAGGTAGTTGCTACGTATCAGGAGAGTCGGTCGGTAGCGAGCGGAAAATCGGAAATTTATTCACTCTTTTTTCACTAACACAAATAATAAAGAATTGCTGAATATAAAACGTTTCTGTTATCTTGAGAGCACGCCAAGCTACCGTTTTCTTACGTAACACATCACACCTTATTACCGAATATCCTAATTCCAAGGATAACTAAATTACTTTTAATACATTACGGTAGGTTATTTACTATATTGTTTCGTAGACAGTATATCTGCATTTATATATTATCTGCTAAAAAAGTATAACTTTATTTTTGGGTATTTAAGTACTCACTAGTAACTGATTTTAAAAGGTAGCTCATTTTTAATTTACTCATTTTTGACTCGAAGAAATTTTTTTAAAGAGCTTCGATTTATGAAAATGGTAGTTTTAATAAAGTTGAAGTACTCACGTCTATTAGAGTCTATGTTAAATTGTGGATTTGAATGATTTTTTTTCTCGAAAATACGTTTAGAAAAACATATTAAAAAAATCTACACAGTTGTTAAAAAGAACACAATTTTTTAGTGTTTTTTGCTTTTTGTGTTTTTTTCCAGAACTTTCTCAAGTCTTGCGAGCTTGAATTAAATTTCAATTATGAATTTATAAGGAAATTGTAGTAATTATAGAATCTAATATCGAATTTAGTGGTATCAGCGTCAACATATGCAGTTTGTATTGGCACCATTTACGGTAATTACCAAATATTACTCATTTCAGAACGTACTTACATTTTTAATACAGTGAGTACTGTACAGATTAAAACAATAAGCATCCATTGCTTTCTAAATCGGCAATACTAGATTTTTATTCAAGGCTCCAGAATCTTAGTTTTACCAGCGTTTTGTCATTACTGCAACTGTTAATTTTGTTACTCGAATTCAAAATTTATTTAAAAAGTTTTAAATAAATGTTTAGATGTGAAAAGAAGTAATTAAGAATCGTACTCAATAAATTTCACATAATTTAGAAAAAAATGGTTTCACTAAATTATTGAAATCACACATTTCACATCAAAGCATTGATGTTTTTGAGAAGTGTTACATGTGCGCGCGCGTGCATGTGTGTGTGGGTATATACATGTAGGTATATTAATAATTTATTCTGAAATACCTGGGAGTTGTGTTGCAGATCACCAAGGGCTTCAACATCATTGCCAATAAACCTTTGGCAGTCGGTATTCTGGTCATAAACTTTAAGCTGCTGTTGATGTTCAATCTCGTGAACAGCTACTGCAGTTGTAGCCACAGCCAGCTTCCGAGGATAGTCGATTGACGAAAATTCCTGATTTTCAAGAGACTTGCCACCACTTGGATGAACAGTCTTGAAACTGTTAAGTATCTTTACTACAGCAGCATCAGGACGCTGGTCGGTAAAGAGTAACATGGGGCTACAACTGTCGACATTACTGCTAGTTACAAATTGCTGCTGTTGATGCTCAGTAAGATTCGGGCGATGATTGACAGAGCGCTTGTACGCCGATTCAGCAATGTCATTAAATTTATAAAGATTTAACTGCTTTTGCTTGTTGTGTGTTTGTTCACTGGAAGCTGCAAGGTCCTGGATGTTGATATAGGACATGTCATAATCTTGGTACTGTAAGAAAGTAATTTTAAACTAGCTTACATATGGATGTAATTGTAACAAAAACTTAACAAAAAAATTTAATTAATACAATATATAAATTATTGGTTGAACTGCTGTTTAGCATACTGTCATCCGTAAACAATAGGCATGATACCAGAGTTGGTTTCAGTATGGTTTGAGACATGGCGTATAACTTTTTCACAGAAAAACGTAAATGTGTGTTAAAATATTATCATTTTAACTATGACTATTGATTGATAGATATAACCTACGCATGAGTAGGTGCCAATACGTTTTTGTTGGCGTTCATGAACTATCTGTTTCTGTTAACTCTCAATTTTTTTGTTGCATGACTCACAACGTGTAAGTAGGTATTTTGAGTTAGCTCGTAAAACTCAAAATAATTGTTTAATTTACAACAAATCTTGTACGAGTAAGTGATATGTGTTAAATAAATTTATGTTCCGATATCTTGAAATTGTCTTGATTTTCATTACTTTATTTTTATTACTATAGAGAGCAAGCCAATTGAACACTCAATATATACAAATGAATATTTATTTTATCAAAACAATACATAAGGGAAGAGCTTTGACGGCTGAGTAGTTAGCGTACTAGCTATCTGGCTTGAGAAACTCAATAAGTCATGGGTTCAAATTCTTGTCTAAAGAATATCAAAAAATTTTTCTCGACTTTTTCGATAGGATGATGATACTCAGGATGATAAAAAGCACTCCTTTGATTTTTAATATAGACAGTGAACTATTCCACATAATCTGTGGCCATTCAGGGTCTTCCTTTTCAAAGAAAAATTAACTAGTTCGGTATCTAAGGCTTAGAAAATTTATTTTCCAAGACAAAATAAGAAAAATCTGAAAACACATTCTTGTTTAGAATTTCATCAGGGATTCAAAGAAAACAGTTTTGAACCACACAAACATAGACATTATTTAGTTACTTTACAATTTAAGAAAAAAATGTAATTTTTACAACTAGTACTATCATGTACTAGGCAGATTTTCACACTATCCTTGAGGCACTGAATATAGCGCGTTAAGTTGATTTAGTTGCAAGTACACCAAAAATTTTAATTAGACTTATACGTTTTGTATTAAAAATTATCTTAATAATTATCTTTAAAAATTTCACGCACGTTAATAATGATGTACTTTTAACGTAGGTACCTTCACGTAATTGGCGGTATTGAGCGGCATAAACATGAAAAACCTAAAAACAATACACTGTAGTGCAGCAGACCATCAAACGTAAACAACTATGATGTGTATCATATTAATTTATTGCATACATATAAATTCACGACAGATGCATAAAACCGAACGAGAACAAACGCTAGTGCAGCAGACCGCCAAACGTAAAAAACTATATTGTGTATTATACCAATTTATTGCATGTATATTACTCTACGACACATACAAAAAAAATCGGATGACAACGCACAGTACAGCATACCACCAAACGTAAAAAACTTAGGTTCTATTGTGTGAACCATCAGTTTACAGCATGTATACTGATTCGTGTAATACAAATTTTTGAAGCTGCTTATCTTTAATGTTCTGTATAGAATTTTTCTATTACAATAAGTATGCTCCATGAAGTTGCAGAGTCTGTAAAAAAATAATAAGTATTTTACCACAGCTTTTATGTACCTATCGTCATAGAATCTTTAAATATGTGATTGTTGACTGAAGCTATGGACTATAGAATGACTGTTAAATGATATCTTAAACACAGAAAAGATTTGAAAAAATTCGAAGAACGTTTTTTGAAATGCAGTAAGAGTAAAAGAAAAGGAAAAAATATGTTTTCTAAAAAGTATTCAACTATTAAAAACACATTTATCCATGCTCCGGAATACAGTACGAAGGCTTTGAAGAGAAGTGAAACAATAATTTAAGCTTTATTTTTTGAAGCTTGTAGTAATGAAATACAAAAGATACAAACTTGAAGTAATAAAATACATATATCTTTTTGAGCACTTAAAAAAAAAAAAACGCTATCCACAATCTTTATTTTAAGCAAGAAAAACAAGAGGGTAAACCATTTTTAAATAAAATATCATATTTAAAAGTAAAAAAAAGTACGTACTATGAACCAAATTGCTTTACAAAGATTGTTTTTTTTGCCGTTTACCTGCAAAAAACGAAAGATTTCCCAAAGATGTGTTTCCAAAAAAAATTTTCCTCATTACTGTGTACTTTACCTCGAGCATTCCTCAATTCTGAAAAATTAACACCTACGTTACAAGTTGTAACGGAATTTTTTAATTGTACTGTATTAAAACCTTTTACCAAACCTATATATTTAAAATCATTGTACAGACATTGAATTACTTATACATATTATATTTGACATCACGTGATTAAGGAGGTTCGGTCGTTTTTCCCGGGGGGTGAGCGGGTGTGCGGGGGCTCCTGTAAGATACAGTGTTAAAGTAAGTTGTAATAACCATGCATGAAAACATCGGCCTACTGCATCACGGTTAATTAAACTGTGTTCAACTCGTCAGTGCTCAAAAGTTAAACTAATAAATGTTATGAACAAATTATGGTACACTTTAAAGCAGCTTGTTTCCGATAGTTCGAGTAAAAAACTTGAAAACATGTTATTTGTATCTTAAAAAATAACCTAAAAAAGTAAGAGAAGACTCAACTTTCGTCAACAAAAGTATATTATGAATTTTCGAAAAACAAACTTTTTTTGCACAGCATTATAGTTTAAAGTCTTAAGAAAGGCTGGGCCAAGTTTCAGATCATGATTTCCAGTTCAACAAATTCTAGAAGCAATTTTGTAAAAACATTTCACTCCATGTGAAAAGACCAGCTGACAGCAGACGATGCTCGGTTCTCTCCCATACACTTAGCATAAGACCTGCTCGCGACTTTGTTTACATTTGCACAGATATTTCTTCCAAATGCATGATAAGGTACACATTTTTTGATACGAAAGTCTTCCTTAGAAGTTAAGCTATCCATTTTAACTTTTTTCTTATCATGAATAAATCTCTAGCCTCGAAATTTGTGCAACAAAGGCTGAATAATCGCTCTTGGTCATAAGAGCTATGTTAAATCATGCAATTTCGGGACATTTTTTTTTTAAATTCGGCTGATAAAAAATATTGAAAAAATTTATATGTACTTTCAGCGTGTTAAAGCACGACATGTATTTTTTTCAGCGAGTGAATAAATCTCCTCCAAAACAACCGAATCTCCTTAAAGCGGAATAGGCGGCTCAATAAGCAAAGCAAAGCGTCGCGCGTCGAGGAGAATTAGCGTAGAGCGGCAGTTCCAGCAAGGAGTCGATAGCGAGTGGTAGGCTCGTACCCTACAGCTCACTGTCCTTCTTCTGTAACTCTACCAAAACCAAGCGAATAGACTTATGTCGCATAAGACTTGCTTTCTCAGTCAAAAATTATTAGCTAAAAATTGAGATATTAATTGTTGCTTTGATAATAGCTATAAAGACCTACATTTATAGCTATAATCAACTATAATGTACCTATAAATGTAGCTTATTATTAGCTGTAAAATGTAAGTGTGTATAGCTATAAATTTTGCGCGAATTTAAAAGAAGAAATTTTTCTAAATCTGATTATATACACATATATGAATGTAGTAGAGACGACTTTTGGGCTCGTACCCTGGATTTCGTCTTTCTATCCATATGCTTCATACCTTTCTTTTACTTCTTTCTTTAAAGATCATATAAACCACTATCTTGTGATTAAGATAATCACCGTTGAATCAAGGAGAAGACAACAATGGAAACAATTAGTCCTTGTGAAAAGGAATAGCCGTGAAGATCACAAGCTTAGTACACTTTTCGTGGGCACCCAAAAACCTTTCCGAAATAGTTTGCGTAAAAGCACTAGCATTGCTGACACCAATAACATTTCTACCGTGTCCTTATTCGTTCTCAATTATGTCCTGGAGGGTCATAAAGTATACAAAGTATCCATACTATTGCCTATGCTCTGTGTTTGAAGGAGTCTACACCATTTTCACCCCTTAAATCCAGTATTGTAATGAAATAGTGTAAACACATCAAATTTAAATTAATACACACTAAATATAAATTTCTCATCTGTTACATATATACACATGCATTGATCCATATTTCGGTACTGTAGTAAACAAGGCCAAGGCCGTTCAAATTCTAAAAAGTTCATGCGCAAGGAAAGCCGTTGAACCGAGTCAATACGATGATAAATATACACTCAAGGTGCGCACAGACCTTGAAGAAGCTATAGAAGCTTATAAAGTACACCATTATTAGCATGCACGAAATTCATTAAAGATCATTATTTAGTTTTTCATGCAAAATGTACAAAGGCAAATTAAAATTTTTAGTGTACTTACAACTGAAATAACCTATCTCGCTATAGGCAGTACCTTAAAGGCATAAATGTGGAAATCTGTCTAATATGGTATATGATGCCACTAGTTTATGTTCAACTGTACTTTGTGTATTTTTTTACCAAGAGCGCAAAGTGCTATTTTTTGCTCGTAAGCACATTTTGTGCCCGGTAAATCATTTTCTGATCATGAGCACAAAATTATTCCAACGGTGCAAAGCGGCAGTTGCATTTTGTGGCTATGGTAATAAAAATAATTTTGTAACTTGTATAAATATATTATTTTTAAAAAATTTGTACTAATTATTGTCAAATGTTTATATTTAGACTTTATAATATGCAAATACATATCTAATCATAGTACCTGTTTTTTTATTTGTATCAATAATTATCTACCGTGGTTACAAAAAAACAGGGTCAATAATAATACAAAATTGCATCATTTTCTTTATCACAAGAAGTTAAAAACTTATAAAGCACAGTACTTTTTGCTATATTATAAGAAAGCGTTAAGTTTGTTACAATCTTCCAATCTTTAAAAATTCGTTTTAAGAACATTCGATTCCTATTTCATACATGTTGAAACTTTGTTAAGCTTTATTATAGCTATGATACAATTTTGTATCCTCACTGTCCC